ACCTAAACTTTCGCAGCTGTTCTCATATAATCCTAGTTCCCTTGCTTCTTCCCCCTCTTCTGCCTCCCAAAAATTGCTCAAGAAAACTGTATCAAACACAAATCTTATCCCTTTGTTCTTGTGCTTAAACTGTTCATTGCTTTTTGTATTATCGACCCTCGTGTAGCAAATGTTGTTTATTATCAAACACAGTTGATCATTATAATCTACTAGGGTGGTGACAGTGGTGTCTTGTTCTTTGGAATCAGTATTTTTAATGAGGTGCCATGCCATTCAGAGGATTAAGGAGGATTGGGACCCATTACGTATAGGAATCTCTCCATGATCTGTACATTGATCTCTGGACATGCGGGCCGCTTTCTCCCCTTCAAACTGGCTACCATTGGCTCACGCTGTTCATTCTAGCAATATTAACCTGATTTTAGCTTGTTGTAAATAACATGGTGGGTTAGGTCTCAGTATCTTTGGACCCTATGGTCTCCTGAGTAAATTCTTTGCCTGAAAAGCTCCTTAACTGGCATTGCCACCTCTAGAACAGCAGTCGCCAACCTTTCGAACCTCACGGACCACCAGTTGTCCGCAGACTACCGGTTGGCAGCCACTGCTCTAGAAAGCCTTCCTTTGCTAACCCTTCCCTGTTAACTTATTGTTTCGTATTCATTTGCTTGTGGATTTATACATACATAAGTGTTTTTTCCCTTGAGACTGAACTTTTCCAAAAGTAGCCATTTTTGTTATTTGACTCTGGCATAGTTGCTATCTCCATAGACATTAATGTGTGGTAAATTGAATTCAATGTTAGGACAAACCACATGCTTTCCAAAAGTGGACAAGCATGCTTTTTCCTTCTTCCTGATCAAGGCCAAATTTTCCATGTATTCTTAAACCCACCCCTTCCTACTTCTATCAGGTATGTTCCCTATTACCTCCAATATTTCATTCTTCATTAGCTTCTTCCTCTAGGGCTGGTTTATTACTTGAGAAGACTTTGGTGTGGGGAACATGCATAAAATTTTCTATTTAAAAAAATAGAAGTAATGATTAGGTAGAACAAATCAATATATTCTTAAATTAATACTTTGCATTCGAATCTGCTGAGTCAGATGTAGTCTTTGGAAACTTTGAGATTAGTCTTAACTTATCTTACCTTTCTCTTGGCTGTTTTTAGGCCCAGCTGTGGTCCCTCACCAGTATTATGGAGTTACTCCCTGGGGCGTCTACCCTGCCAGTCTTTTCCAGCAACAAGCTGCTGCTGCTGCAGCAGCAACAAATTCTGCTAACCAGCAGACCACCCCCCAGGCTCAGCAAGGGCAGCAGCAAGTAAGTGTTAACAAAATTTATGCTGTATAAGTGTGAATTTTAGTTATTTATTAATTGAAAGGTAATGTTGGTTTAAATAGAGAAGCACTGAATACTGACTTCCCTCTCATGTTTGTCTCTGAGTTTAGGCTTAGACTTAGTTGTGCTTACTGAATGCCATTTATGAATCAGGTTCTCGGTTAATGTAAATAGTTGAAATAATGATATCATACAATTTACATATGAGAATGCTGCTTAGAGAACTGTCCAGTTAAGAGTACATGATTATCTAGTGGCAAAGTGAGTGTCATAGTGACAGTAAATTTTCTTTCTGCCAGACTGTACTTAACTGCTCACATCACTCTGGCTCTGTTACAAGTCACTTGCCATTGAAAGGGAGGGACTGGTTCTTCAGACTGCTTATTTATAACATCTATTGGATTGGATATAAGTCTCTTATGTCTGTTTTAACTTATAGTAATAAGAGCTTTTAAATTGAGTTGGGAAAGGATAATTAAATGCAAAACTGAGTATATCTTTTTTATTTTAAATAAGTAATTTTCTTCTGCTTACTAGAGTACCACCTATTGCTGAATATTGTGGTGAATTGCAAAACTAAAAAAACAAACAACAACACACACATATACATACATTCATACACACACACACACACACACACACACACACACAATGTGAGAAGAAACCAATATTAATGTATTAGTGGTTGGTATTTTAGCATTATTAAATGAATTTTTTAAATGAATTTTTAAAATAAAATTGGGCCGAGACCGGTTTGGCTCAATGGATTGTGTGTCGGCCTGCGGACCCAAGGGCCTTGGGTTCGATTCCGGTCAAGGGCATGTACCCAGTAGGGGGTGTGCAGGAGGCAGCTGATCGATGATTCTCTCTCATCGATGTTTCTGACTCTATCCCTCTCTCTTCCTCTCTGTAAAAAAATCAATAGAATATATATTTTTAAAAAATAATAAAATTGGGATTATTCTGTTCATGTGGTTTTGCCTACTGCTTTTACAGTTTCCCATGTTATTTAATGTTCATTTTAATAACATTTACTATATTTAAATCCATCAAAGAATATCACATACTTTATTTTGACAAGTCCATTGTTATTTCATATTTAACAGAGCAATATTGTGGTGTTATAAATAAGACTGAGCCCTGACCAGAGTGGCTCAGTTGGTTGGGCATCATCTCCCTGCACCAGAAGGTTGTGTTTGATTCCTCGTCAAGGCACATGCTGGGTTGCAGGCTCCATCCCCAATAGCAGGTGTGCGGGCAGCAGCAGACCCATGGTTCTCTCTCATTGAAGTTCATCTCTCTCCCTCATCTTCCCCTCTTCCCTAAAGTCAATAAAAATATATTTAAAAAATAATACTGATAAGTATCAATTGCATAAGTGCTTTGCATTATTTCATGGACTAAATTCTTAGAAATAGAATATTTTTCATGCAATAAAATGAGCATTAGGCTTTTCATATTCATTGTCTAATTAAAGCTGTCTTTTGAAACATACCATGTTCATATGTGTTTATATGATATAATAAGAATCATCTGCTTTTTATTAGTCTCACTAAGAGAGCATATTTATTTTCTTAGATTCCACAAAATTATAGGGAAAACACGTCTCTTGAAATTCTAGTTACTTTATCTTGGTCCAGTATTTTTATAGTATGATCATTTTGGGGAAGCTAATGCATGATTTTCTTTGCAGTAGATACAATTTTAGTACCAAGTATGTAATGGAATTTGTTGGCAGAATGGGTAATCCCTATTAATGAATTTGTTAATAGCTCCTCTTTGTAGGTAGTCTGTATTTATTTCTGAGATGATCTTTGTGTTCAAATGGATGCCAAATACTTATGGATTTGAAAGACTGAAGTAATTACCATTTTAAATTGAGTTCTAATAAAGCGAACAATAAAGATACTAATAAGTTTTTCCTATTGAAAGCTTTCTTTTTAAAGCTAAGAGCTCTACTTCTTTTTTTCTTTACCCTGCTTCTAATGATTATATGACTTCCCATCATAAGATTAAAGAAACAGAATTCGTGTGCCTAGGGTCACACAAATATGAAGTTGCTAAGGTTACAGAAGTCTGTTATTTCACAATTTTTGCTGTTTTCTGACCATATTGTGATATCTGGAGTTATGTATAACCTGTAATCTGGTCTCTGTTCTGCCACTAACTGGTTGTATCTAGGGCAAGTTGTGTAACTTCTCTGAAGATAGGTAGCAAACTTAACTCCTTGGATAGTTTTTACAAATAGATTTTCAGACATTTTTTAATGGTTTTATTACATGTTAAAAATATTACTTGCTCAATTTTATATATTTGTTTCCATAAAACCCAGATTTGACACTGATCGATAAAATTAAAATACTTAAGAACTATGTTTTTGGGTTTTTTTTTAATCAAAGTTCTACATAGATTTCTAAAGAGTGTACCAAAAGGAAACACGTTGCTCTCATTAATACAGGATTCAATCGTCAGGAATTCCTCTTTTTTTCAGGCACCATGTCCATTTACCTGTCCCCTGACCTTTCTACAACTCCTAACCAAACATAAGCCATGTTTATCATGCCCAATAAAAATGATGCTTGCACGATGCTTAATTAGTTCTCTAGTAGTTTTGAACTATAAGTATTTACCTATCTCTGTGCATGCTGTTTACTTTTTCTAGAGTGAGGCTCTTCTGGGTTATTGGTTATATATCTTATAAGTCTTACCCAAACACTCGCCTGTGCAACCTCTTCTATAGTTGTAGATTGAAGTATTCTTTCTCCCATAAAGTTGGGTAGATTCTTTTTTTTTTCTTTTTTTTCCTTAATATATTTTATTGATTTTTTTTTTTACAGAGAGGAAGGGAGAGAGATAGAGAGTTAGAAACATCGATGAGAGTCATCGATCAGCTGCCTCTTGCACGCCCCCTACTGGGGATGTGCCCGCAACCAAGGTACATGCCCTTGACAGGAATCAAACCCGGGACCTTTCAGTCCACTGAGCCAAACCGGTTTCGGCAAGTTGGGTAGATTCTTTAGGTTACAGTAGAAATAAATTGCCTAATATTTTGATAATAATTGGCTATTGGTTTACTGATTAGCTCCTGGGTAATACATTAACTCTCATACTTTCTGCAAGATAAGCTGTTATTCTCACTATTTTTACATATAAGGAAATAATAGACTTAGGGTAATCTAAATGTCTTATGAATGTAAACAATATTGTTCACCTATGGTTGGCCGACCGGCCCGGCCTGGCCCCCTGGTCGAACTCATGATAGAAGGGACAATTTGTATCTTAGCCTTTTATTATATAGGATATCATCCCAAGAATTTTAATTTTTTTAAAAAGTGTACCCAACTTAAGCATGTGGTGGGTCTTAGATATACCGAATGAGAAAAAGTGGTTGATTTATTTCTGTCTTTCAGGTTCTCCGTGGAGGAGCCAGCCAGCGTCCTTTGACTCCAAATCAGAATCAACAAGGACAGCAAACAGATCCACTAGTGGCAGCTGCAGCTGTAAATTCTGCCCTTGCTTTTGGACAAGGACTGGCTGCAGGCATGCCAGGTGAGGCTGAATTTTGTTCCCAATACTTTGAGGAGAAATAAGGTTTACATGTTGGGAGAGTTTCAGAGAATAAGCAGTGCTTTTAGCTTGCTTAGGTTTGTCATAATTTCATGACTGGCAAGGATGACACATACTTGCCCTCACTTAGACCGCAGTTCGTTGATGAGAGCACCTAATTGGTCTGAGCCAGTCTTAATCTCAGTTGGTGGAAACATGCACATCTCCACAATTGCTGAGACTATGCTGTTTTCACTGGTGTTGATCTATTTTCCCTCTCAGGATTAGGTATAGAAGGAGTACCCTGGCCACTTTAACATTACTCCAAGCCTGTAGTCGTTAGGATGATGTTTTGTTCTTTTAAAATATGTTTTTATTGATTTCAGAGAGGAAGGGAGAGGGAGAGAAAGAGAAAGAAAAATATCAATGATGAGAAAGAATCATTGATCAGCTGCCTGCTGCATGCCTCCTGCAACCCAGAATTCCTTGATCGGAATCGAACTAGGGACCCTTCAGTCTGCAGGCTGACGCTCTATCCACTGAGCCAAACTGGCTAGGGTTATGATGATATTTTTGAACAGCATTATTAGGAAGATATTTATGGTACATCTTGTTTGTTTTTATTATTTATTCTGAACCACTATAAAGATGATTTGTAGTGCCAACCTATGATATATATATTGAATATATGTAATTTTTGGCTCACTGTCACCTGATTTTATTCTTTGCATGGGTTGGATGTAGTTTGAGGTTCTTCCTTTGAAATAGGTACTTATGAAATTTCAGCATAATTTTACGGATCCTTACTGAGCATGGAGTGTAGCCAAATTAAACTAATTCATTTATTATTTACTGAGTAAATTGACTTGTATTATTTTGTTAGTTATTAAGCATTTATGTATTAAGAACTCACCTATAATTTCTTTTTTTTTTTTTAAATATATTTTATTGATTTTTTTTTTGCCCTCCTCCATCCCCCCCACACATCCCCTCCCTCCCCAGAGTTTCGTGTCCATTGGTTGTACTTATATGCATGTATAAAAGTCCTTCGGTTGATCTATTATCTCTCCCAGATCTTCCTCCCCTCCCCGCTGTAATTTGACAGTCTACTTGTTGATATACTGTCTCTATATCTATCTTTTGGTTCATCAGTTTATAATGTTCTTTATCATCCACAAATGAGTGAGGTCATGTGGTGTTTCTCTTTCATTGATTGGCTTATTTCACTCAGCATGATGTTCTCCAATTCCATCCAGGTTGCTGCAAATGATGAGAATTCCTTCTTTTTTATGGCAGCATAGTATTCCATTGTGTAGATGTACCATAGTTTTTTGATCCAGTCATCTGCTGACGGGCACCTAAGCTGTTTCCAAATTCTGGCTATTGTAGATTGTGCTGCTATGAACATAGGGATGCATATATCCTTTCTGATTGGTGTTTCTAGTTTCTTGGGATATATTCCTAGAAGTGGGATTACTGGGTCAAATGGTCACCTATAATTTCTTAATATGATTTGGAGATTCCATCTCATATGGCATGAAAAGATCCTACTAGGCTTTTCATGCTAACTTGCAGCATATTTGTGCTTAGATTATTAAGTGGTATGGAAATACTATGATTGTTGTAATCATTTGTTCCCTCTGTTATTTGTGTGGTCAGGAAAACATTAAAAAATTGTCAATGAATGCTGGTTGGTGATAACCTTGGTTAGCACTTTGAAGAGTGTAGATATTCTCTGTTGCTCCAAATTCTCTTTCTAGCACCCAGTGGATGAAAAGTAATGCTATTCTTATTGTGCTAGATATCCAATAGTATACTATATCTTTTACATTCATCTTTAGCTTAATCTTCACGAGAACTTTATAAAGACAGGTATTATCCTTATTTTACAAACGAGGAAATGGAGAGCCGGAGATTCAAGGTCATACAACTAAGTGTTGATGCCAGCCTATACACCTAAGTCTGTCTGTCCATCCCCAGAGCTGTTTACAATATGCTGGTGCCCAGGAGGCATTGTCAGTTTATATGTGCCTACAGTATGTTGCCTTTCTATTCCAGGTTATCCAGTCTTGGCTCCTGCCGCTTACTATGACCAAACCGGTGCCCTTGTGGTGAATGCAGGAGCGAGAAATGGTCTGGGAGCTCCTGTACGACTTGTAGCTCCTGCCCCCGTCATCATTAGTTCCTCCGCTGCACAAGCAGGTGAGCTGCTGTCCAGGGCAAAGGGTGATGAATGACATTCATTCAATATGTTCAACTGCACTTCATTTGACAGTTCTCAATATAGCTTTTCTACCCTGTGATACTTGAAAGAGAATCAGAAGCAAAAAATGGTATTGATAGATTCTGATGTTGTGGCATGTACCAGTTAGTGAAGAGCAAGGACTCATTCCATTGCAAACATAGTAAGTTAGATTAGTAATATAAAATGGCACCATTGGCAGAAGCCCAAGGCTAATTTCACAGAAATCTGTCATTATCTTCAAATAATGTAGATTCACTCCCCTACCCCCCTGCCCAGGGCACAAGGATAGAGAAAGGGGGAGATGAGTAGAGAGACATGACAATAATAGGTTTTGGTAGGGGTAGGGAGGTAAGTTTTTATTTTAAGCTATATACTTTTAATTAGGAATTAATAGTGCGAAAATCTAGAAGAGAAGCCACATGCTTAAATGTCTTAGGAGTTTGAGGGACTTTAGCATATGGATGACATTGATTCTGGAATTATGGGTAGTGTTTTTTTTTTTGTTTTTTTTTAATCCTTACCCAAGGATATTTTTCCCATTGTTTTAGAGAAACTGAAAGAGAGAGGGAGAGACAGAGAGAAACATTGATGTGAGAGAGACACATCTATTGGTTGCTTCCCACATGCCCTTGACCAGGGCAAGGAACCTGCAGTCGAGGTATGTGCCCTTGACTGTAATCAAACCCGGGGCTCTTCAGTCCGCAGGCCAACACCCTATCCACTGAGCCAAACCAGCTAGAGCTAGAGAAATGTTTTTTTCCGTAGATATTTGTGAAATGAACTTCTGGGAAGTAGATATATTTAAAATGGGTATATTTGATATTGTCCCTATTTTAAACCACAGACTCTTTAAAGCCACAACATACTGAACTTGCTCCGCTGCTATTTTGAAAGTAGAAATAGAAAATGAGCTTCAAATGAGGGGATCAAAGACAGAACTGTGTAGCTTTTTACAAGGTTTGTGTCTACTTGAATAGATACAGTAGAATTAAAAGGTCTTCAAAAAAGGATAGCAATGTATTGGATAGTTTGGAAATGTGGCCAATCCGTTTTATAGCTAGATGATTTGCTTTCTTTATAGCTGTTGCAGCGGCCGCAGCTTCAGCAAATGGAGCAGCCGGTGGTCTTGCTGGAACAACAAATGGACCATTTCGCCCTTTAGGAACCCAGCAGCCTCAGCCCCAGCCCCAGCAGCAGCCCAACAACAGCTTGGCGTCCAGCTCTTTCTATGGCAACAACTCTCTGAGCAGCAATTCCCAGAGCACCTCCCTCTTCTCCCAGGGCTCTGCCCAGCCTGCCAACACGTCCTTGGGATTTGGAAGTAGCAATTCTCTCGGCGCCACCTTGGGATCGGCCCTTGGAGGGTTTGGAACAGCAGGTAGAAATCAGACTGATGTGCTTTAAAACTTATAATTACTTTTACAATCTTTATGGAATACTGACGATGCATGGAAACCTGGACAGATTCCACAGGCAGATCTGGACTGGGCCCCGTGGGAATCCAGCCATCCCACATATCTTTGAGATGATGGACTATTAAAACCAAGATATGCAGTTGGGGCCTATTGCAGGTTTTTGCTTGTGTTGCTACTTATTATATTTCATAGTCGATTTGTTATAGGAATTAGGGAAGCAGGGGAGGTTTTTACTGGCATTGGGGAGAGCGTGGAGGGAAGCATAGAAATGTGGATATTAAAAACCGGGAGGACAACTTACCAAAGATCACAGGGTAGTGGACTGTACAATCTGCAAGCCTTGAGGACTCATGAGTATTCTGCAGTCTTTAAAGAGAAGAAGGGAAAAATGGAAGGAAATTAGATAAGTATATTTTTAACGCTTTATGGGAGAAAAAAAAATTAGGAAAGTAGTAAGGTAAACAGTGGGATAAATACAGTGCTTGTAAAACACTGATGTGGAAACTGAAGGGCACATTTGTGAGAAGGTATCTTAAATTGGAATTCGAGTCTAGTAATAACTCTTGATTGAACAAACCCATTGAGAAAATAGGCTTTCATATATAAATCTTGTGTATGGGACATTGTTCCATTTACAAATGTTTTCTGCACTCCCATTTTTTCTACTAGAACCTTTGGATTGATGAAAGGCATTCTTTTTAGCCCATTTTCTTTCACCTTTCCCAAAGCTTATGTGGCTGTCCATGAAGAGATTTTTAACCCACCCCACCCCATAATTTATGACACAAAAGGAAGGTAAATTTAGCATATGTGTGATGGTTTGAACAAAAGTTTCATGTTAAACTGAGCCATGTCCTCTTTGTTACCTCACCTGCCCCTAGAACTGCCACATGACTAGCTAGGCTGTCTCTGCTGACAAATTTGCGGTGGTAGGGAGTCTGGATCAAAGTGTCAGGAACAGGTCACTGGGCTTGTTCTTCAAGGAACAGGCCTGTTCTTATCTGCATTGTTTTAATTCCATTTTAGTTGCAAACTCCAACACTGGCAGTGGCTCCCGCCGTGACTCCCTGACTGGCAGCAGTGACCTTTATAAGAGGACATCGAGCAGCTTGACCCCCATTGGACACAGTTTTTATAACGGCCTTAGCTTTTCCTCCTCTCCTGGACCCGTGGGCATGCCTCTCCCTAGTCAGGGACCAGGACATTCACAGACACCACCTCCTTCCCTCTCTTCACATGGATCCTCTTCAAGCTTAAACCTGGGTAAGAACCATTACTCTACCACCACCTTGAAATCGAGAAATTTCTTGCCACCGATGCCATTAGAAGTACTTTGCATAAGCAAAGCACAATCCCTTTATCCTGGAAGTGTCCTGAGTGTTCTGTTCCTTCCTTGAGTGCCTCATGTTATTTAGGCTGTTCCTAGATGGCATAACAATTTTGGATTTATTAAAGTTTGGATGTGTCCCCTATATTTTCACTTTAGTATAAACATCTTGTTCTCTGGCTGCATGTGAGAATCTTTCATTATAAA